TTACTTGGTCTTCCAATATTTTCTATGACTTTCTTTTACCCTACATGTGTTAAATAATCCTCATTTGCTTTCAGATAACAACACATTATGCTCCATTATCCCTCATCGCTCAGGTATCAGGGAACTGGGGAATGAATAGATGACAGGAATCTCCCGAAAATCAAGAAGAAACATATTCACAGTATCTTCCTAAATACACATTGGATAAAAAAAATATCATCTACTAGTGTAGTATATGTAACACTTGGACTTAGAACAATATGAATTAAAATAAACATCAAAGTGACAAAGAAGAGACGTAGAACTGAAAAAAGAGCTCTAATACAGGGTGAGCCAAAAAAGGTAACCAAAACAAATCTCAATAACTCAGTCACCTTGCATGGGTTTAGTGTCATATTTTGCACAACAAGCCTTGTCCAATGTATTAGTATACCAAGTTTTCAGTGGTTATCCCATCGAACAAAGTTCGGAGGGATATAGGGAGCGCCTCCGTCCGTCTGTCCGTCCGTCCGTACGTACATACGTCAGTCCGTCCGGGCAATAACTCAAATACCGTTGGCCCGATTTTGTTCATATTTTGTACACATATACCCTATGGGAGTAGAATGTCTGCTTGAAAGCTGATTTTCAAAATGGCGGCCATTTTAGTGCCGAATTTACAGTAATTTAGGTGCAATATGTAAAATTTTAAAAAATGGCCACCATTTAAACATATTTTACTATAACTCAAAAAGTAGTGGAGCCATTTTGTTCATATTTGGTATGTGAATACTATAAGCATGACACACTGTCCTATGACACTTTTGGTAGATGGTGGCCATTTTGAAAAATTAGATGGTGGCCATTTTGAAAAATGGCCACCATTTTAACGTATTTTACTATTACTCGAAAAGTAGTAAAGCGATTTTGATCATATTTTGTATGTGAATACTATAAGCATGGCACACTGTCCTATGACACTTTTGGTAGAAGGCGGTCATTTTTCAAAATGGCCGCCATTTTAACGTATTTTACTATAACTCGAAAAGTAGTGGAGCGATTTTGTTCATATTTGGTATGTGAATACTATATCAAACATTCTGAAAGAATACGTTGGACAGTTGATTATTACATTATAAAGACACTCTTGAAAGAACCAATGTCCTATAAAACATAAACAGTATTCATCCATTTAAAATGGAAGCTTTTTATTTAATTGTGTGATGTTACCAAATGTAAATATGTTTGTAAAACCACTCTGTTTAAATACAGGTAAATAAATAATTAAATTAAATATAAGCACGGCACACTGTCTAATGGCACTTTTGGTAGAAGGTGGCCATTTTGAAAAATGGCCACCATTTTAAAGTATTACTATAACTTGAAAAGTAGTGGAGTGATTTTGTTCATATTTGGTATGTGAATACTATAAGTATGGCACATGGTCTAATGACACTTTTGGTAGAAGGCAGCCATTTTGAAAAATGGCTGGCATTTTTGCTATATACTTTGTTTGTAAAAATGCCATTCATGGGTGTTCGATGGTATTCGCTACGCTTTGGCGTTGCCGTTGTTCTGGTTGTATCTCTAGTGGTCATGATTTTATGGCCATTTTACAAAACATGCCATAAAATATGGGCGTCAAGTCTGGAGGCCAACTTGAACATATTGGGCGAGTCTTGTTCACAACACAAGCATAAACATTTTGTGTTATGGCTCTCATCTTCCTTCTTATCTCTTGTTTCAATGTTTCAAGGGTTGTTAGTGTAGAAAAAATAGACCCAAAGATAAAAAGCTGGTGGGATTTATGTCCAGTCAGTCATTTCGGCATTTGGACCATGTTTTGTAGATGACCATAAAATCGTGACTCTAAGGGACAGACCAATGACATTGATTAAGGTTTAGTTGTGCCAAATATGATTTTGAGCCCATGCTGAATGACTGAGTTATTTACATACATTTGTTTGGGTTACCTTTTTTTGGCTCACTCTGTATGTAATAATCTTAGTTTTCCTTGAATAAAGTGTGAGATACATATGCAACCCAAATATATTCTAGAATTGAAACAATATAAGTAAAGATTGTTTGTTGCTTGATCTGATTCTACCTTTACCTATGTGAGGAATAATCAAAATAAAGAAAAATAAAGAAGTGGAACTTTAACCTTAAAAACTTGTAAAATGATTGTTTTTACACTTACATCATTATAACAGAGATATAGTGACAATGACAACTGACAAGATAGTAAAATCAGCTTGTAAAATCAGATGATAATCAAAACCAAAGTGCTGCCAAGACTTACACTCCCCTTCAAAAGTTTGGCTTTAATTTGAACAACTGCTTGGGCTGGAAATCTAAACTGATATAATTTCCTAGTTTAACTTCATTTTTTCTCATTTTATATACAAAAGATTGCAAATTGATGGCAAATTAAATTCATTTTTAAAAATTGTCATCCAGATGTAAACCAAAAATGTTTTAACAAACTTTATTTTTTAAAAAAAATTGATATAATTTTTCAGGTTTTATAAAGTTATATGTCTCCAAAGTCAAAACTATGCTTTTTCAAGAAACATATCCCTTAAGATAACATATGAGGTATGAGAATATCCACAAATTGAACTGAAGACTTAGCTAGTAAACAATGGCACCCTTATTTAAAGTGTTCGCATTGCTTATTTAAAGTGTTCATTGCATGTTATGTTAAAAATCAACCATAGAGTAATCTAATAGGGAAGTTTGCAAAACTTGGAGTGGAGTGTAGATGGATATTGGATAACCTGAGAATAAAGGGCGGATCAGTTAAATATAGAAAAAATCAGCATATACTCATCCAGAATAGTAATAAGTTACATCCTTTGATATTTCACTTTTCATTCAAAAGACTGGAGAGACCAATGGATCCATCTAGTTCATACTCCTTGTTTATCCCCGGTAAAAACGTCATATACACACTAGACGAAAACGCATCCAATGGACAACCCTATTGTGAAAAACGAACCTGACGGCAAACGAAAAGTCTGTCCGATAATGTACGCAATTGATATTTTTCGTCGTGTACCTTGAATATTATGATGAATTCCATTCATGTTATCGCGATTGTGATTGTTTCCAATGTATTACAGTATGTTTTGGCCGATTCAACCTAAAGAAGGTACTTCTAATTCTCCGTCAAAGACCAATACAAAATGCCGGAAAATCGAAAAATAATTTTGTTATTGGCTGGATGAAGAAAACTAGGAGACGAATACTATTATTATTTAGCGAAAAAATAAGCTTATGATGTGGGCTTTCTGAATCAAAAAAGATTGAAATTATTTTTTCATGTTAAAGGGGTCTAATTTATCGTTAAAGTAAGTGTTGTCAATGTAAACAAACATGTCGGCGAATTTGATTTCTCGTCTTTAAACAATGATATTTGTATAATAGTTGAATACTATATTACGAATGTTAATGATTTAGAAACCCAATTTCAATAGCTCCATGCTCGTATATAACATTCTATATATCTCCCAATAATAATGAAATAAGAAGTAATTTTCTCAAGGGTAGTACAATTTTTTTCGAGAATCCAATGGATCAATCTTGATACATGTGATACGCGCGAGGTTATCACGCCACATCTTGGTGGGCACTATCGTGGGCGAAAGCTCATTGTCCAAATCGCTCTAGTTTGCGACGTTAAACACAGAAGAAAACTCACCCCTGCTTTCTATAATAAGATGATTGCAAATAAGAAAATGTGTTTATTTTTTAAGAAAGATCACAGACTACATGTACTTAGACTTTTAATCCGTGGAATACTTTAATGCTGAGCAATTTGAATTATTAAAATATTGGTATAAGATTAGGCAAGGCTTATAAGTATTATAAGCTGAGACTTAAACATAGCATTCAAACAGTCTTTAAAATTTGCAGTTATACGAACATAATATGCACTCACATTCAGTCAAAGCTTGGATATTGGGAGTTCTAAAGAATGTAAAATGGTAATTTAAAGAAACCAATAAGAATTGTCAAAAGACAGCGTCTCGTAAATCCAACTACTTACTTTTGAATATAGAATGTCGCTTTTGAAGACAAAAATGCATCTTGAAACTAGTGGCCATGTTGGCATTGGGGCATATGCGTTCAAAATATGAACAATTAATGGTATTTGAAATGAACTCTGTCAAAGAATGTGTTCCATCCCTTTTAGCAAGAAAAGCCAATGACCGCATATGCACCGCCTTGACAACTAGAAGGTTGACACATAATCCAATCAGAGAGTGGGGATTGCTATACTTTTTGTGTAGAGTGTAACTAGGAAAAATAGAGATTGTAGTCAGTAGCCCGGTTCTTTATTCGTTTGATCCCCCAAATAAAAACAATACACACAGTGATAAAATCACGTTCACTGGTACTCACCTAGTTACGCTGACGGTAATACGTCAGTGTAACATAATGGAAGAACTTCCGGGCTTCGTTTTCGGTAAGTTATTTTTATTTCTCGATTCTTCACCACCAATATGACAATATTCATGAAGATCGTCAACGTAACAAAAGCTAGGGACTAAGTATGTGAATTCCGTCTTCGTTAATATATCAAACATAGAACCGCCTGCATATTCTCAAACTAGACCATCTTCCTTAACTTTGAGCCAAATTATTGTACACAACTTGACTTATAAGTGGTGTAGAATCGAGAAATAAAAACATCTTACCGAAAACGAAGCCTGGAAGTTCTTCCATTTTGTTACGCTGACATGTCGTCAACGTAACTAAGTGAGTACCAGTGACGTTTGTTGCGAATATAAGCGGTCTTCCTCATTGTGGGATCAACAGCCTTTACTATCCCTTTGGAATAGTTCTCAAAAGCGTTAGGTAAAGAGGGACTCTGATAAATCAGAATGGGTCTTCCTTGAATGTTGATCAGATTTACGTGCCCACAATAAACGACTACAATATAGCATTTTGGAACTGCTAAAAAATTTTTTTTTGTACTCATGGTGCGGAATGATAATTGGATAATACAATGGAACTGTTGTTATCATATTTTATTTACCTCATGTTTACCTAAGTATAGGATATGTAATATCAAAACATTTACCAAAAATTGTCGCCTTGTTGTACCATCGGTATCATTATAGGATATTTATATTTACATTTTTGATTCGAATATGTCTTGATGTTTCCGATTATTATCTTTCCGTCCTTGGTCTTTAATGGCTTTTTTTGGAAACAGTTTGTGGTGGCTATACTTGGAACTCTGTGGGAATGAAGAGCGGTCTTGTAAAAGCAATACTTCTGAAATGATTTGAGAAATATGTACTCGTTCAGTTTCGTAGCTAGTCTGTGTCTCTTTTCTGTTTTATCAGGCAGGAGCCCTGCTTGCCTCATTGAAAAAACCGTATTGGATATATCAAACGTTGTAATATTGAGCTTGTTCGCGTACATAAGGAACCAAAAGTTTGTTAAGGGATTATCTGGAGCTAGTGTGGTAACTACCAAGTCTGGCACTGCTTCCCACGGAAAACTGTCTTTACCTGTAATAATGTATCCAAGTCTAGTTATATCAAGACGTTTCATGCGTCCTTGTAGGTTCCTCATGATTTCCAGGTCATTGCCAAATCTTAGTGTTCTCGAAAGGTTTAAGCTGTTGTTATGAAATAAGGCTTCGTATCGTGTGCCCGATAAAAGGAAACGAGTCAATTTCGCAGCTTTTATATAATCCTTCACAGCTGAGAGTGTATTGAATAATGCTTCCCCATGAAATAACAGATCTGCGTACGCAAACATATAGAAATCGCTATTGTGTCTGTTGAATGTCTCGATGAACAGTTCACGCATGATGATGTTGTTATGGACCATGAGGTTTGGCGAAAGTGGGTGATGCTGCCAACCAAAATATTCCCCACCTGCTAGAATATCCCCGGAGTTGTTTGAGTAAAATACAGGAGTGACACAATGCCTTTGTAGATGCATCCAATTTAACAGAGTATTGTTCTGTAGCGTTTCCTTGGTCTGTAGACCTTCGTGGAATACTGTAAAAAGGGTTATATTCATCGGGCAATCATTTGGCATATAGATTACAGGGGTTAATGCTTTCCGAGTTATGTTGATCTTCGTCGTGTATCGCATTGCACGCTGTGTTGTCATGTGCGCCTTCTCTGTCCATAGGAACATCCCAAACAAGCTGATGAATCCAATGAGGGCCGTGGTCATCCCAATTTTCATAAATGTCCTCGAACATGGCATTTTCTCCTCCTTCTTGGGTATTTCAACCGTCTCACTAGTGTAGTTATCTGTAAAAATATGCGTATTGCAGGTTAAATTAATCCATGTTAAGGATTTTGTGTTTTACGGTTAACGAGCTATTTCAAAGTATCACTCGCACATTAGTAAATAAGTTCAGTTACTGTTGCCCTCTCAAATATTGTATTCACAGCCAGAGAAGCCGCCTCCTGTGTTTCACATGACCGTTGGTAACTACAGTGTAACATGGGTCGTGTAATGTACAACATGGTATTATAATGGTATTATAACTATAGGTCCAGAGGATTATACCACAAAGTAAGCACCATATATTTGAATAGCAAGAAATCAATAGCACTGGAAACCATGGACCTGTAGACCGGTAAACGAATACATGTATCTTCGTTTCACCATGGGCTCTACCACCTGATAAAGCCCATGGTTTCACCATGGCTGAACTTACGGTAGAAGAATTTTTGTTTTCTTGATTTAAGGTGCTATGGAAGTTAACAGGAAATGACAAAACAAAAAATGTCAAAACCATGCTGGATTTTGAAAATTTTTTGAACCAAGATAACCGAGTTTTGTTGGGACCTCCAGTCAGTTTAACTAGTTCCACATATCATTTACATGACTGGGAACACAATGGAAATGGTCAGAATAACCATAAACATGATGAAATAACCTCTTTCAGCCCTCTGAATATGTGACTGAAAAATAGTAAAAGTACATGCTCAGGAAAGGTCAGTGAACGGAATCTTTTGATTTTTTAAGAAAATGTGTCTAATATATTGCTCTAAATGATGCAATCTTTGAAATTTTAAAAAATCCTCTGAAACAATAATGGCTGTAGTTAAAAGGAAAATAGATCGACTTTAAATTCAGTTTTTTTCATTTTTTCCTTTTCTAAGAATGATATGAACTTTTTTTAAATTGTATTATTTAGAGCAATATATTGGGCACATTTTCTGAAAAAGTCAAAAGATTCTGTTCATTGACCTTTCCCGAGCACGTACTTTTAGCTATTTTTCAGTCACATTTTCAAAGGGCTGAAAAGGTTATTTCATCATGTTTATGGTCATTCTGACCATTTCTATTGTGTTCCCAGTCATGTAAATGATATGTGGAACTAGTTAAACTGACTGGAGGTTTAAACAGAACTCTGTTATCTTGGTTCAAAATTTTTTCAAAATCCAGCATGGTTTTGACATTTTTGTTTTTATCTTTTTGCCTTGTCTTGTCACGTTGCGATAGGTGAGTTCATTCGGTCTCCTCAAATAGGGGGGAGATTAAGCTACACGTTTTTAAGAGAACTTGTAATCAGATGTGTAGAATTATTGTCCTTGAGCAGGAGCGGGGGATTCTCCGCTTCGTTGTATTTACCTTATCAATTAAGTATTACTAGATATAAGGAGGTCATAATATACTATACTATTTAACACGTTCACGTTCGAGTTCTCTTGAGAACTTGTAGCTTAACTTCCCTAATACGGGGGATGAGCTAGAAAAATAGGTAAGGCCGTCGCCAGGACATTTTAGAAAAAGCGTCAAAGTTGCTATACAAAAGGTTTGGAATACACGAGTGTACAATACAAATAGAGAACTACTGTAAAACGGGTAATTTTGACACCGGGAAATTTTAGCGATTTTTCAATTTTGCAATATTTTCTTTCTTAACTGCTCTGTGTCCCCTTGACAAGGGTTGTCATGGTTACCATATAACACAGAAAATCTGTGAGAAAATGAGCCAGCTTTTTCAATATTTACAATAGTACTAGTTAGAGTACTTTTTATCGGCTTTGTATAAAAAACCTCCTACCTCATACCCACCTACCCACGTACGTGGGACATGATACAGTCTTTGAAGGGTTCAATTTTAAAGATCTTAGTTTATCAAATCTTAGTTTATGATGAATTATAGATGCATTTGTAACGACCCTTGATAGCAAGTTGCTACTACATCCCAGCTGGTTTCGAATCCCACTCGGGGCATCGAATTTAGCACACTTTCTTTCAATTTCTTTATCTGGCTTGTTGGACCTATGCTCGCGGTCGTTAGTTATTTATTCCCCTGGGGCGCCCTCGGGTCATTACACATTAAAATGCATCCATATGCCTTTATTTATGGATCTGTCACCTGTCTAGTCATAAAATAAAGCCGGAATTGTGGAAATGTTAATAATTTGAGCTATTTTGAGATTTAATAATCTTTAAAATTGAACCCTTCAAAGACTGTATCATGTTCCACGTAGGTGGGTAGGTGGGTATGAGGTAGGAGGTTTTTTATACAAAGCCCTTTTTATCTAACTTTATGACCACCCTGTATAAGCACGGCCGTTAGCACTTTGTGATCACCCTGTATGCATGTATTTTATCATTTCATGTCTTGCCAATTTGATGTCATTGTAAATGATACACAAGCAAATATCGGATCCCGTACAAGCTTGAACGAGGCTCGAAATTTTCGAGTCAATACTGGCAAAAAGGAGCACATTCCTCGTACGGACCCGTACGGGGCTCGTTTTAGAGGCCCGTACAAGCAAGTACGAGGCCAGTAATTATGATTTCGAGGCCCGCACGAGCATGTACAGGCCTCGTAGTTTCTCAATTTGAGGCCCGTACGAGCTTGTACAAGACCCGTAATATTGTAACTTCAAGGACCGTACGAGCATGTACAAGGCTCGTAATTGAATTATTTTTCCAGAAAGAAAATGGAAACCAATTCTACCATGATTACATATTTGATAGACATTCGTGTCTATTTTGACTTTCTTTCACGTCTCACCCCGGAATAGCCTGACTACGGTAAAGTCAGATACCGTTGTCACAAATGGCGGACATAACCGTCGCTTCAATTAGATTTTCATGAACTGTATGTTTAATAGAGCACCTAGACTAAATTCCTTTGGAACAACAATCAATCAAATTGTCTTAATACTCATTGTACAGTTAATTATGTTCTTCCATCGAAATAAAGTCTTTAATTTAACCGATCAAAATGAGATACGGGACAACGGACACTGTAATTACCATATGCCGTTGTCTTTCTAAATTACTCAAAATCAGATTCCGTTGTCATTGACGATATCGAAGACGCTATATTGTGGCGATTCCAAAACCCAATTTGATAGAAAATGGGATTCATATGATACATTATCACAAGAGCTTAATGCATGCACAGAATTAGCGAAGATAAAACCCCATGAAATGAGGACCAAGTGATTAAACAGTTGAAGCGATGGTTATGCCCGCCATTTGTGACAACGGTATCTGACTTTACCGTAGTCAGGCTATTCCGGTGTGACGTCTATTATTCCGATTATAAAGTCTTTTATCTTCGAATCAAACCTTAATTATTTACCTTACTTACTTTAATTATATTGTACAGAAAGTCATGTATTTATATGCAAGTTTTCCACAACTTGAATTATATGGTGTCTGCCCTGACAATTTGTTTCCTAGCTTTGTACTGTTCCATCATACTAATACAGGCTTATGGATATTTTAAAAATATTAACAACATATTTATCCACATTTGCATATATTCGAAATGTAAGTTTTAAGGTACTCTGCATTTTATTTCATTAATCACAAAATGTTATAAAAAATAACGAGCTGTTTAGTGCCTCGTTACGAGCACCGTACGGGTAAGTACATTGGTCGAAGATTACGGGTCCTTACAGGCCTTGTAATCACAAGCAAGTACGAGGCTCGGAAATAACGAGCAAGTACGGGAATCGTTACGATCTGAGGTCCGGGTATACTGTCATTAATTAAAAAATCAGTCTTATTCTTATACATGTAAGTAATCAAGTAAAAGATTTATACATGTACACCACGCATTAACAACTCAGTACAATAGCGAACATTTAAATTCTTTTTAACGTATTCCTGGGCCTCAGGTTACGATCCCCGTACGGGCAAGCACATCGGTCGAAAATTACCAGCAATTACGGGCCTTGTACGGGCAAGTACATGGGTCGGAAATTACGGGTTCAAACGGGCCTTGTAATCACAAGCAACTACGAGGCTCGGAAATTACTAGCAATTACGGGAATCGTTACTAGGCCCGTACAAGGTTGTACAGAGCCCGTTGAGGGAACGGGGCTTGTACAACATCGTACGGGATCCGTTGTAATTTGCCTGTGTACCGAGCAATAAAGATATTTGAATTGAATTGTGACATTCAGTACTGACATTGTGCAGCAGTCAGTTACTGTAACAAATGGCAGGTGTTGATATTTTGCATGTTAATTGCCTTGTTTTATTATTGTTGGCAAAATAGGATTTACAGGAGAATTTATTTTCCTTCAAACAAAGATTTTAAATCAACCATAAAGCAAATATCTTCTGTAAAAACCTGCCTGGAAAATAACTGTTTGTTTTCTGCTTGCCTATATCTGCAAAGTGTACTGGTAGCTTGCCTATGCCAAGTGTACTGGAAGCTTGCCTATATCTGCCAAGTGTACTGGAAGCTTGTCTATATCTGCCAAGTGTACTGGAAGCGTGCCTATATCTGACAAGTGTACTGGAAGCTTGCCTATATCTGACAAGTGTACTGGAAGCTTGCCTATATCTGCCAAGTGTACTGGAAGCTTGCCTATATCTGCCAAGTGTACTGGAGGCTTGCCTATATCTGCCAAATGCACTGGAAGCTTGCCTATATCTGCCAAGTGTAATGGAAGCTTGCCTATATCTGCCAAGTATACTGGAAGCTTGCCTATATCTGCCAAGTGTACTGGAAGCTTGCCTATATCTGCCAAGTGTACTGGAGGCTTGCCTATATCTGCCAAGTGTAACACAATTTAATCAGTACTTTCCAGGAGCTTTTGTTAGTTCATCAATATAAAATTATTTGACTTGTGTCATTTCTATTTGAGTGTGTTGGTTCGAGGATAATAGCCCTAACTTCAGGAAAGAACAATCAGAATTCAAATAATTTTCAGACATTCCAAAAAAATGCCAGCCTTTCTGAATTTGTATATATAAAAACATAGAGGCCATTTAAACTTTGAGGGTTAGATTTTTGGATGAAATGGTGGACTTCGTTTCAAATTGACTGGAACATAATTAACAACTAATACAGTAGCTACACTATTCACCAACCAATCAATGCTAATCCAATAGACCATTTTAGACAAGTCATATTTCTTATATCCAAGATTTTGGATTTTTGTAGGCTACAGGGTGTCCCGAAAAATTATACCGAGAAAAAAAACTCAATAAATCATATAACAGACAATTTTATTACCATAAAGATCTGAAGTTTCACGAGCTAACTTCATTCAGTTCTAGAGAAAACTTGTTTTAATACCATCACCCATATTTCAATATTGTACAGAGACAAACTTAGAATTACTCTGTGAGTGATGAAGGAACATTTTTGATATCCATTAATATGACCGTTTATTATTATGAAGATTTGAAAGTTTCACTAGGTAACTTTATTTAGTTTTCGAGAAAAGGTTGTTGTAAATGGTTTGATCGCACATTTCCATGTTTGGAATTGTATTCAGTTCTTCATCAATCGTGATGGAGATCTTTCAGGGCAGGTCGTCTTAAATGTCACATTTCTCAGGAAGTAATGTTCAAATTTCTATGAATTTTAAACAGATAATTGATCAATGAATTTTCTTCACCATGTGAAAGTTTTTTTCGATAAAGGAAGTTATTCTCAGTTTGTTTGGGTATATATTTTTGGGACACCCTGTAAAGTTTTTTTGGGACACTCTGTAAAGGCTATAGTTCCATATTGAGGAAGGGCAATATTACCATGGGGTTAAAAAACATAATTCTAGTAATGCAGAAATGCTTTACATCCTTGAGACCTTTCAGATAACAATATCATGAATGAACAACACAAAGTGAATATAATTGCTCAATATATTTAGATACAAAATGATATTTTTACAGGGTAGCCATGTAACATACACAACTATATGCAGAGAAGACCATATAAAATTGAACAAAATATTATCTGGTCACACTTTTATACTTTCCACTTTAACTTTCTAATAAAATGAACCTGTTTTAAGCACAAGTGGAATCACTTTGGTACCTCAAAAATGTTCCATTTGTACTAGTAGGTTCCACTTGGATTTAAGCTCATTTTACATTAATTTAATGGGTTATTAAACAGGATTTGGAGGTATTCTGTGTACAACCTTTTCACTACTTTTTTCTGCATTTGAATGAATTGTCTGATTTTTGATTTTATCTCATTTTTACAATTTAGAGTGTTAACTACATGCCTGTTTACTTTATTCCTTGCTGATTCCACTCTTTCATTCTGTTTTTATGTTTTAAATACATGACTATCATAATACAAACATTTGAGGAAATATCCAAAACCAGCTGCCTGACAGTTGAGTTGTGCAAGCCCTTTAATGTACATTTAAACAGAAGTATTGCTTAAACAGAGGGCATGCAAAACAGAGGTATTGCTTAAACAGAGGGCATGCAAAACAGAGGTATTGCTACAGCAGCCATAGGGATTACAACATCTTTATCAACTTTTACAATATGTACATTTGTATTTTCATAAGTGGTTGATTTTGGCTTAACTTTTAGAAACATGCACATGGTCAAACATTCAAACAATTTCTTAATGTGGCTTCATTTTTAACATGTAGTAAACATATATATAAATATACAGTTTGTAGTTACATATATACTTACACCAACATCATACATGGTTCATTTTGATGAAAAAATTTAGGTATATGAATGCCAATTGAAGAAAATGTACGATAGATGGCACTCACATAAGGTGTTTACATATTGTGATGAAAATAAATGATATTTCGATGAAAAAACAATAGCATTTTGTTTAGTTTACTTCTTTGCAATATACCATATTCTCTCTAATGAATGCACAGTGTGTTCCCCAAACTGAAATTTATAAGGGCAAGATATTGAGAGATTCCAATGAGCACACATACCAAAAAATTTAGAAAAAACATGTCCTTCTCTGCATTTTATATAATCATCAATCGCTATATTGTTGTGTAGATAATTGAAAACTAATGCATCAAACTTGTGTTCTCTTGAGACAATATTCATCATAAAAGTTGCATGTGCACTTATTGGATCTATGCGCTCATTAGAGAGAATATGGTAAGTGCAGTTAGATCTAAAAACAGACAACTACATTAACTACAAGAACATGTGTTTTTGGCTTGAAATCTGGTCTCAACAGCCAGTCAATCATATTTATGGCCATGTATGACTCATAAACTGTTAATTTTACTTCCAAATACATGTACATGTACATAAAAAGTTCATCTAAAATGACCCATGTTTATCCTGTGACATTTTTGATTATTGAACTTGTTACCTTTTTATTATTACTTCTTACATCTATATTTCTGCTCTTCTTCACTCTTACATTTCACTTGAACTGTCCTGGCTGACACATAGTTGTGTAACATGGCTATCCCATAATATCTATCTCATATCCCATAATTACAATTAGATTAATAACAAATAATAACTTGACATAGCTGTTCTATATACTTAATGTGAAATGAAAATTCCCATGCAACATATTTCAAAAAAGTTGGCTCTTTTTTTGAAGAACCAATACAAGTATGAAACATTTCATGAGAGGACAATTTTTACAAATCTATGTAGATCTCACAATTTAATGGAAAGTTTTCACTTCAGTGAGGTATTCTGTAGAATTCAGGAGTTCAAAACACTTGTATTCCCAAGATTCGAGTGTTCAATAGAGTACAGGTATTCACATGAGTTCAGGTGTTCACTAGAGTCAAGGTGTTCACTAGAGTTCAGGTGTTCACATGAGTTCAGATGTTCACTTGGATAGTATTGTCTAGATAGATGGTTTATCAAAGACTTCAGCATTTAAAAACTTGATCATACTTATTTCAATTCATCTCTCTCCAAAGTCAAATTATTGAAGTATCTACATGGAATAACCTAACAATTTTATCCAATTGCAATACCAATAGCACACTTTTGTTTCATTATGTGATTCAAAGAAGAATGACGTCGTTGATATTCAGTATTCTTAAAAGGTCTTATACTATTGATTAAAGATACTGGTTGGTACAATTGCTATATTTAAGTTCACATGAGTAAAATTGGTTCTTCAGTGTAGCATACAGACCTATTAACTCCATGCATGGTCTGCCACATGTGCTTTAGAATTGAAGTGAGCAGTGACATACCTTTTAAAATAAATATTGGAACTGTTTACTTTGAAACAATTTAGGATTCAAATCCAAGAATGCTTGGAGACAATGCAATCCACAAATATCAACATTATAATGGCATGCCATGCAAACCCCATCAATCATCGTATAGGATTCAGAAAACACTGTTTCCTGTCTCTTCTGAAAATTAATATCATACTAGTGACTTGCCAGGCTAGCATGTACTTATATATAAGAAAATATTAACAAATTCAAGTTTCTGATAGCATTCAATTCATAACAATAATCAAAAAGTTGGAACTATTCCAGCAATTTGAAACAAAATATACAGTAAACCTGACACTAAAAAAGATGGCCAATTACATGCCCTGACATGGGATATGAAATACAAACAATATCAGACCAACGGTATTTGAGTTATTGCCTGGACAGATGAGGGACAAACATAAGGATGGAAAAGTTCATAATATCCCCAAAACTTTATTTGATGGGATAATAATAGGAAACTAAATGACTGCCAAATGTGAAATATTGCAACTAGAATGTATTCCATGAGAATAAAGCAGCATACACTGAAGTATTCCAGCAATTTACACTGAACTATTTCAGCAAGTTACATTGAAGTATTCCAGTTATTTACACTGAAATATTCCAGTATTTTACACTGATGTATTCCAGCAATTCACATTAAAGTATTCAAGCAATTTACACTGAACTACTTTAGCAATTTGCACTGAACGATTACAGTAATTTACACTGAACTATTCCGACAATTTCACCGAACTATTCCAGCAATTTAAACTGAGGTATTCCACCAATTTACACTGAAGTGCTTTAGTATTTTACATTGATGTACTTCAGTAATTTACACTGAACTATTTCAGCTAATTACACTGACATATTTCAGTAATTTACACTGATGTATTTCAGTGATTAACACTGATGTAATTCAGTAATTTACACTGAACTATTTCAGCTAATTACACTGACATATTTCAGTAATTTACACTGATGTATTTCAGTGATTTACACTGAAGTTAACAGTTAACACTGTAGTATCTCATACACATGTATTTAGCATTCCTCCAGCATCTTGTTAACCTATCAATGTCCCAGGAAATATATTTCTTTAATTACATCCATCAGGATTCACTGATTAGAAGTCAATTTAAACCGGATATTCCACCAAATCAACAACTTCGCCAACTCACACTGAAGTAGATCAGTAATTTACACTGAAGTATTCCACAAGCTAACACTGCAGCAACCTTCCATTTGCAATTCAATTGAAGTATTTCACCAGCTCTATCTACTAATATGTAATCTACTTTATCCACCATTATAATACACTGAAGTATTCTGTAAGCTTAGGTTGTATTCCACCAGCTTACACTGAGGTCTTTCATGATGTAAACTGAAGTATTCCATCTGTACACACTGATGTATTCCAAAGAAGTGTACTGTGACATCATATGAGTGTACAATGACATCAAATGAGTGTACGATGACATCATCCGACATAATAAACATAACTGGTATAATAGCAGTTTTCAAATGGGTTGCAGTCATCAACAATCTGTTGATTAACTTACACTGACACATTCCACAAACACTAATGTATTCTACCACCAAGTTACACTCCTGTTTTCCTGCAATTTACACTGAATTAGTCCATACTCCCCGGTGCTATCATTTACACTGAAATATTCCATTTACACTGAAATATTCCATTTACACTGAAGTATTCCATTTACACTGAAGTATTCCATGAATGAATGATGATATAATAATAGGGTTTTCATCCTCCAGCTATTAAAGCATATAGATCATAACTATGTTAACTGTACATGTATATATGTATAACCACATACTAATTGCTCCTTCCTCATGCTTCAAATACACAGCTTTATAGAAGTCTATGAAACTTGAAACCACATGGCATCCTCCCATTATTAATATTAAAATCCCTCTTGTAGGTCTTGCCTTCACATTCAGTTAGGAGGCGTTGATTTTATTTTTATGATTCAGTTCTAGTTTTTCTAGTCTTTTCCATAAATCTTCCCTTTCTTTTTCCTTCTTTTTCTCCCTGAAAAATTAAAAATCAATTTTCAAAGCACACAATGAACAATATCATACCTAAACATCAAATATGGCCACTTAAACGTTTAATCAAAATGAAAGTACTTTACTACGCATGGCCAGATAAAGGCCCGGTCACACCGCCTTAACGTTGCTGGAGCGTTCCTTGAACGTTGAAAAAAATCATCAACGCTCGTAAACGTTCACCACCGTTTAACAAAAGTTGGCATCCGTTAAAGCAACGCTGTAAACGCTCGGCCAACGCGGATGTTTCTCGAGTGGCCATCCTAACGCTCCAAAAGTTTTGAGCTGCTCAAAATATTGCGAGCGTTGAAAAAGGGACAATTTTACGCCCTGGCAAAGTTTATCACCGCTCCACCAACGCCCAGTCAAAGTTTGGCACCGCTAGACGCAAGTTCGTGGACGCTTGAATCCGCTAGACCAACGCAGAAATCTTAAACGCTGGACCACCCCTGCTTCGCCAGCGTTGCCCGGACGGCGATCAAACGTTGCACAAACGTCGGTGGAGCGGTTGTTAGCGTTTTATCAGCGTACATGGGGTTGTTGGAACGGTGTCGGACGTTGTCGCAGCGTTCCATGGCGGCGATGAACTTTGCTTTGGCGTTGGTATAGAGGTGTCGGAGCGGGACCAGAATTTGGCTATAAATACGTGGAGAAATGCACCACTGTGTAGAACACTGTGGAGACACTTGTGCATTTTACATTTGATATATATTCATGTCTGGCATTTCAATTTTTTGCATTGTAAATTCCTAAATTAAGTGCTCAAAGTTTGTTATTTTGGATTTTAAAAAGGTGAATTATGCGATTTTTGTTTTTCATTAAATGTTAATACAAATAGACTTTTACTGAGACCTTTATTCAAATATAGTATATACCTAGTGTTTTTACGTCAAGCAATTCAATAAATTATCTGTGAATTTTCTGCGCAGCTTGTAAAATGTTGCACTCGTCATGGTATTATACAAAAAGTTGATGCGCGCACAGCAATGCAAAAATTTGTCATGCATCATGATTATTACTTTGCTGTAAATGTTATTTGACATTGTTAAAGCAATTTGAACGTAAATCGGTTCCCAGTAATGGAAATGCAACATTAAATTGTGATATGTTTGTTTGAAATGATATGAGAGATTATTAAAGAAAATTGTAATGTTATTCATTCTTAATGTCATATTACATTAATAGAAGCACTTTAGATTTAAAACATTTCTTCTTTAATCCTTGAAGGACTTTTGTTAAAGTTACAAATTCCAATAAAGGTCTTTACTCTTAAACACTTCCCACTTGAAATAATTTCCCAGTGGTCAAACGCGATATGCTGCTAAACCAACGCTGCTGCTATTTATACCCCCGCCGAGGCAACGCTCTCATGCGCAGAACTCCGCTATACCAACGCTCGCATTACCGCTAAACAAACGCTAGCTACCGCTCGCAACCGCTTAACCAACGCTAAAGCAACGCCGGCTTCAGCGGTGCACCGCTAAGCCAACACCCGTGTTTTTGTTTTTTTCCCCATTTTGTGCGCGTTGACGAGCGTTAATGAATTTTTTCAACGTTCAAGGAACGCTCCAGCAACGTCCAGGCGGTGTGACCGGGCCTTAATCAGTTCTACATTCTTAAATCAAGAAAATTTGCTTTATACCTAGTCTGTACCAGTTAATTATTTTATACATTTTGATTGATTTAATCTACGAGGGGTGATCGATAAGTAATGGACACTTTAAAAAGCATCTGTGTAAAAAAGTGTCCATTACTTATTGATCACCCCACATATTTTAAAATGGAGGATCATATCCATTGCTAAGGGCTTATGTGACAAAGTCAGTCCGCCTTGATGACAGTCAACAAACAACCTCTCAATTAGATCTTGAGTGCTTTTTTTAACTTACTTTTGCCGGTCAGCTTTGTAATTTGAGGTGAGTTCATCAAACAGTTTGCTGTTCATTTCCATAAAAGTTTTGAGTACATTGTAGACAAGCGCAACAATAGTCTGGTTCCAATGATCCTTTGATATCCTGAAATATCAAATAATAAAATTATCAATTATCAGGCATTTTTAAAACTAATATGTATTGAAATATATCAGAATTATCAAAAATATTTTTATAGGTTAAGTTTGGCGATCCAGTTCCTGTTATAAAATATTGAAAATGAGGCCTAGAATTGTAGCTTTAGAATCTTGATTTTTAAACATTTCAAATAATTAGCCAAAGAACAGATATTGTTTTGGTCAAAATGTAAGAATACAGGTAAGACTATTTCTTTGACACATTTTGCTTAGAATCTCCAATTGCCTCATCTGAAGTAATTGTTAGTAGGTTTAAGTAATGAAAAATATAATTTAGAAATGCAAGAAATTCAATTCAACCTTACTCTCTAGTTAAGAAAATAATAAGAAAAATACCTTTAGAGGCTGGGAACATGATAGTCAACTTACCTGTAGAGGCTGGGGAACATGATAGGCAACTTACCTGTAGAGGTTTGGGAACATGATAGGCAACTTACCTGTAGAGGCTAAAGAACATGATAGGCAACTTACCTGTAGAGGCTGGAGAACATGATAGGCAACTTACCCGTAGAGGTTTGGGAACATGATAGGCAACTTACCTGTAGAGGCTGGAGAACATGATAGGCATCACTACATTGGAGTTTTCTTCAATGAGACTCATAACATATTCATTGTTCCAGTAATAAAGTGCTCTTTCAGCCACCTAGAAAATAATGAAAAATACTTTTGCATGTACTATCTATATTGCACTTTATGTTTACAATATGATCTGTTGCATCAATAGGTTCATGCAAAAATTCTCTCGTTTCTTTACTTTTCAATGTTTCTTCCTGAGACTTTCCAGAAATATGAAAACAGTATAAATAATAAATAATATCGCTATAGTAACTTGGCAGTCGTGTATGCAATGGTCATAATAAGTCTGGTGTCTCTAATTTACCGAATGACAATACAAATTAATAAATACCTGAAAGTGTGGACTTGAGACACAGCGGGAAATTTGACGGAAGAGAGGTTCCATGACAATCTGGAACTGTGTTGGTTCTATCACGTCAAGGATCTCTTCTATCTCACCCAAAAACATAACCTCTTTCTGACTACAAGTCTTCGGCCAGAATCGCAACAATGTCATTACCACCTACAAAGTGTAAACACAAATTATTTTAAGGTAATATCTCTAGAAAACATAACCTCTTTCGGACTACAAGTCTTCGGCCAGAATCGCAACAATGTCATTACCACCTAAAACATATATGGAAACATATAACATTCTTTGAGGAGTCACAACATAGGCTTAATAACCTGAAAAACTTGTGAATGCAACATTGGAAACATCTATAAACATAACATCGAAAGAATTTCGGATTTTGGAATTCTTTTTTTTGGAAACTTTCTCTCGATTTATCTCTATCCCTCGTAGTCCCTTAAACGAAATAAACTGATATCAAGATGTAAGCAAATACCAGTTAAGAGACAAGGCATTAACATGCAAATGTCACCACCTGCCATTTGTTGTATATGCCGAACACCAAATGCTAACCGCTGAATGACATCACAAAAAAGTTGGAGACCATAACAATATGTCAACACTTTTGATAGTGATATAATATCCATTCGGCTATTCATTTCTTAACATTTTCTTACCTCTTCAGTTAATGTAGCATCTTTCTCCAAGAACTGAACAACACAATAAGCCAGCTGTGCATGGTAGAGATTTAGACCTCTAGTTTTATGAAGCGGACACAGGACCTTGATGAGAAACTGCTTGTGTTCTTGCTTCAGTGGTAGAGCAAACCCATTGATAATACTGGAAATAAACAGATGATTTATATTAAACATACATTCTCATTTTAGTGCTGTACATATTTGGACATTTGAGATTTTAATTTACAAATACTACAACCTGTAAATATGTTACTGATTTTAATAAAAACATATATATATATACACAGTGCAGGAGTCTTGAGTCCTGAACAATTTCACATTCATAACTTCACTGATTTGGAATGTACTCCATCAATTTAAAAGGTTGCTTTCTAGAATATATACTTCATATATCTGGGATATACTTCACAGATTTGTGACCTACTTCATAGATTTGTGACCTACTTCATAGATTCATGACCTACTTTATAGATTCGTGACCTACTTCAGATACATCTTGTTTGAAGAAATTTAAAAATGCTTCAATTTCTTACCTTCCCAGAATTTCCAACAGTTCTCCTACACCATTAAAACTCTCAGTCTCAAATATGAACCTGAAAATAGAAAGTGACACAAACAATGAAACAACGATCACATTGTTTTACTTTTATGTTCATTTTAAAACTAATTGTCTAATGAAGGAAGACTGACTCCCAGCATTCTTTTGTGACCTTCTTTCGACCCGCATGGACCAATTTGGTAATAATATTACCATAATGTTCACCTCCAAACTAAATACTTGATCTGGAGACATAATAGTTATTGCCATTTTGGTTCTATGGTATGACAATCAAAAGGAGATTGCCAAAGAATGTCTGAGCCAATCCTCCTTGTTGAAAAATTATCCAGAAACCCTGTGGACAGCCAAGGCAAACTTTACATAAACCCCTCCCCTTGGTTTAGCAAGCTTAAAGTTGGTACACTTGTGGAAAAAACAAAAAAGTGTAAACTGTCTGAGACACCTAGCTGTCGTTGCATTTTTAACAGGGAGGTTATTTCAATGACAATATTTCAATTTGTTGACACAACAAATGAACAATTTTCTTGAGGTCTAACCATGACAAGATTTCTTGTAGCATCTGCCTGTATGGCCATTAGCACAAGGCAAAAACAATATAGAACTTCTCAAGGGTGATAAAGTAGAGGGGAATAGGTATAATAGAAGGCAGGAATATGAATAACAACAGAATGATATAAGACACTAGAGTGTATGAAGATTATCAACACAAGTTCTCAAAAAACATGTTATTGTCTAAGCTACCTGTTACACAGTAGGGTTAAGTTTTGTTATGAACCATTTTGAAGCTTCGTAACGGGACATTTGTTCCCGCGGTAACCATATACCACAGTTATCCTTCATTAAGATGTCAAAATGTCATATTAGTAAATGTGTGAATGAGAGACATGGAAATTCAGATTTTTTTCATGCATTTCTTCACACAGGTATATCTATCATAGTTAAAACTAAGCATGGCCACGCAATACAAGGCATTAACAGATGCTGAATACCAACTGTCAAACACCAACTGCCAAACACCAACAGCTGAACACCACTGAATATGGGTTTTACTTTTCAGAAATTATGATATTGACCTTGGGCAATATGATATTGATACTCGGTTGCTGCCCTCCCTCAATCAATATCATATTACCCTTCGGTCAATATCATATTGTCTTGGAATAAAACCCATATTCAATCCCTCCATATTGAAGGATGAGTAAAGATTTTCTAGCAGGGCTAATATCAAACAGCCAGGAAAATGTCACAATAGTATTATTTGAAATGCAAAGTAGAGAGAAAAGAGAGGAATTATTGAGAAATAAAGTAGACAGATATATAGTTAGTACTCTAGATTATATAGAAATGTAATATGACTAGGCAGTTCAGTCAAGTTGAAAGAAGAAAAAAACATGAGAAACACATGACTTGAGAGAGATGTTACTCCTTGGTTTTTTACGGCTTATACAGAATGTCAGTATGTCTTCATCTGAAAGTGGATTTCTAGTCTAATTCATTCAATATATAAAACATCCGTCTGCTCATGCCAATTCCACTCTATTTCTCTGTAAAATTTGAATGAACTGCTTAATATTTTTGCATTTCTATACAATTTAGAGTGTTTACTAAATGTCTGTATATGTTATTCCTTGGTCATTCCACTCCTTTCTATTTAATTTCATGATTCAAAGCATGACCTTCATGGAATATGTTTCACAAAGAGTTAATTCTTTATAATGCAGCTAGTGATTGCCAGCTATAATCTTGAGTATATAGATGCATTTTCAAGCAGATGGATTCTTCAATGTTGAGATTTTTTGTGATTATCATATTTCAGGTGGATATACATACAGTAAAACCAAGTGGAACACTTTTGGTCTTACACGTGGGAGTTGTTCTACGAATAGAGGTTCACTTAACATTAAGTCAACTGGTCTTGGGTCTCTCAAGAGGATATAGACATAGTTGTTACCGACCCCCTGAGTCCCCTCCCACTTCCTTTAAGTCTTCTTCCTAGATAATTCCAGAAATTATTTACTGTGAACAAAAAATAGGATAAAAACTGCACTGCAAACCATATAATACTACACTCAAGAGATTTTACTTCATGTAACTTGGAAATCTAGATATTGACCGTTCTCTCGAAGATGTAATTTTGTATGATTGAAAATACCAGCTGCTATCTACCTTTATCGAATATCTCCTGCCACTGAACCCATGTAAACTGGGAAATTCAACATCTGACTTTTCCCTCTACTGAAATGTACAGTAATTTAATTTGTTACCCCCATATTACCAACTAATAAGTATTTCCCCCTTTTCCCCCTATCCCAAATGTAATATAATTCGTTACCCCTTATAAGTATTCCCCTTTTCCCCCTACTCTAAATGTCATATAATTTGTTACCCCATATAACCAACTTATAAGTATTCCCATTTTCCCCCTTCTTTAAATGTCATATAATTTGTTACCCCATATTACCAACTTATAAGCATATCCCCTTTTCCCCCTACTCTAAATGTCATATAATTTGTTACCCCATATTACCAACTTATAAGTATTCCCATTTTCCCCCTACTCTAAATGTCATATAATTTGTTACCCCATATTACCAACTTATAAGTATTCCCATTTTCCCCCTTCTTTAAATGTCATATAATTTGTTACCCCATATTACCAACTTATAAGCATATCCCCTTTTACCCCTACTCTAAATGTCATATAATTTGTTACCCCATATTACCAACTTAAAAGCATATCCCTTTTACCCCTACCCCAAAATTTAATTTAATACATTTGAGTACAGTGCATGTATCAATAAATTGATTTTTTCAAGAACAGGTGAAAATTCACATTTTAATAATCCTGACCACAACTGGTCAAAATATGCCAAATTTTCAATTTTCTTATTTTTTGGGTGCAAATGGGCGCAAGCCTAAAAATCTCAAAATCTCAACTGGACTGATTTGCTTTGAGCAATCAATGGACAGATGAACAAAGCAGTTGAAAGGCCTTCATATTGCAGAGCTGAGACATATCTGAGCAGTACAGTATAATAATTACTTTCAACAAATTTATATTCATTAAGAACAATACAATTATTTCTAATTCATAAAAGACCTTGACTAATAAGTATCTGTTTTCTAGTATAAGACCTAATATTAGTTTTAGAAGTACTGCTATTCTGACAGTGTTCCAATATGGACTAATTAGTGCATATCTGTGTATAAACCCTCACAAAATATGGCCGTCTGCTAACAGATTAAGTCTATTGTCATCATTTTCTCTAAAAAATTTGAAAGAAGTGTATGATTTTATTACATTTCTATACAATTTAGAGTGTCACCTATACCCCTATTAAGTTTATTCCTTGCTGATTCCACTCTTTTCCACTCTATTTTGCATTTCAAAAATGCCCATCGATAGATTTTTTCTACCGGCTGTGTATCAATGAGGAAAGTAGGGAGTGAATTATAGAGCAGTGTCTAATCAATGTACTAAAACGGAAAGACATTGAGAGGAGAATTAATCAATTCTGTCAAATCAACTCGTATTTCTTGGTCTCCTGGGGTTACGACACCGTAGGGAGCAAATTCAGGATACCTGTCAATACATGTGTTTTACTGAACATTCAGTTTTATTAAATTATTGGGGAAAATAAGTATTTAGTAAACAGGCATTAAATCGTCTACATAGTGGGTCACCTAGAACACTTTTCAGAATATATGAAGTGGAACATTTCAGGGGTACCAAAGGTGTTTTATAAAGGTTTTACTGAACATTGAATTATATTGAAAAATATTGTATTAATGACTTTATTAAAACATTAAGTGCAGCGAAATTCTAATAATGCAACTGATATTTAAAAAAACAAAATAAAATGCTGAAAAATTGTAATTGACATTTTTAAAAGCTTTATAGATGAAATGACAAAAATACTAAATGACACTTATGAAATGTAAATTTAATACATGAAGTGCCACTAATTAAGTAAAACAGATAATCAATATATTATGTATATCATTGCAAATGGTTGCACCTTTTTCAAAGATGCCCATTATTGATATCGAAAGCCCATGCAAGCCATGAAAAAAATCTATAGACTTAAACAATATGTTTGCAACTCTTGGTAGTAGGGGTCAAACGGTTCAAAATTCCAACGGTTCAGTTCGGTCACGGTTTTTAGGTTCACGGTTCGGTTCTGTTCACGGTTCTCGCGGGTCTCGTAAATTGGTAATATTTCCTTAAAAAATTGTAAAGACAGCTCATAAAGAAACAGGTTTTAGCTTTCTATCTAGCCTTGCCCAAGTCAGTCACTTTCTATCCTGGTCCACTTTAAATTTTAAATTTTAGATTTTTCTGTCCTTGATAAGATTTCTGTCAGATAAGAGCTGAGATCTACATGTAGCACAAGCAGTAACATAGCCCCGGGAACATGCATAAAAAGATCGAGTCGAATACACCAAGTAAAGAGATCTCTTTACTTGGTGTATTCAACTCATCTTTTTTATTATACATTTTCCCGGACCTATGAGCAGTAACTTAGAGCTATAGGCTAGACTAACTTGAGGAAAAAATTAGACTCTAGGCCTAGACTAGCCTAATATTTTTCTCACCGTGAAGATACTTCATGACCTCCCTACAGATTCTGCATATTGATACATTGTCCTCTGATTTCCCATTTACGATAGGAAAACCCCAAAAATTCCAAACGTTGCTTTTGTATTTCAATTATTGAGATTATCTCGCAATTCTTGTAGTCTGTCAAAGCAGCCATGCTGAATCAGCACAGATGGCACTGCGATTGTGCGGGAGATTTAAACACAAACATGTTTCAAGTTTTTAACAAAGACATTAGTAATGTTATAATTTCTCTAATTGTAGTATTTTTTAAATAATATTGATTAAAAACTAACTCATTATAACAGACAAAACACCTCCACGAAGCAAAATTAATTGTACTATGAATAGCGTAATCTGGCGAGACCAACTTCCAGTCTATTTATATGTCACAAAAATGTAAACAATTACTTGTCTATCTATTTGTGAGCGATCTGTTTCATATCTAAGGTAAGAATTGAATGTTCTCTATTGCTATAAACATGTTTTTAAGGAATATATACATGAAGAAAAAGTTCATGTCGAACGAAAGAGAGAATATTGAAGTCTAAAAAATTTCAGTTTTCAATTTTTCCTCGAACCGTGGATGAACCGAATCTCATATTTATGAACCGAAAATACCGCCCTAGCATCATGTACCCAGGTAACCGCGTACCGCGGTTAACCGTTTGAGCCCTACTTGGTAGTGACTTTTTCTAGAACTTATCATTTACTCACCTTAGAAATATATTGTTGATTTGTTTCCGTATAAATGCCCGAAGACCAAGGAATTTCCCATATATCCTATGTAACACCGTCTTGAGAAAGTCCCTCTCGCGAGGATCTTCACTATCAAAGAGCTCTAGTAACTGAAACAGAATAAAATGGATTAAATGAATTTCCCATATATCCTATGTAACACCGTCTTGAGAAAGTCCCTCTCGCGAGGATCTTCACTATCAAAGAGCTCTAGTAACTGAAACAGAATTTAAATGGAATTCAAGAATTAAGAATTACAAATACATGTTGTACAGCAAGATTAAAATGTGTTGTCATCAAGGATTTGAACAAAAAGCTTCGTAATGACATCATTGAGTTAATTAAGAGCTTTAGTAACTACAACAGAACAAATGGAATTAAGAATTACATTGGTACGCAAGATTAAAATATTTTGTCATCAAGAAATTGAACAAAAAAAGCTTTGTGATAACATCAGAGAGTTAATTAAAGATACATGATTACATGTATACACAGATCAGATACGACAGATATGTATAACAGGGGGAAGCTACTCCTCCCAGTAGGCTCCCAAATATGCAAGAAAGGTACAAGTCCTCAATAATAAACAAGACACAGTGATAAATAATGCACTTGAAGAGCAAAATGACTGCCTTGCAAATTCATCAGAATGCCCAAAACCTAATCAGATCTTACAGCACTAGCTGAAATATTAGCATTTCTTCAAATAAGTTAACTAGATCAATAATTTTATACCATACTGCCCAACAAACACCCTCCTATGAGCATGACAAGTGATGACAATATAGCACCGGTCGAGTGCAATGAAAATTATTGGACCAATTGGATTACCCCGATCCCATGATTGATCACAGCATTTCCAAGAGCAATGAGCTAGCAAGTTGCAACGAGTATTTGTTTGACCTCAAATTACTGCTGATTTAAAAAAGAATTGTAATTTGTATTTTTTCCTTTAATTGTAAGAGTGTTAATCCAGGCAGATTGATAAACTGTGAAGAATTATCACTTAATCCCATTGTAATGTCCCATACTGTCATTACATTACCATAAAAGCTGGAGTTTACGAGGCGCCAATAATTCCAGCAGTTTTAAGATATCAAACACGAAAGGTTGCGTATCACTGTAACCTAGTTAAATGCATCCATTTTAAGTGTACCCTAAATCATTCATTTCTGTTAAGTCTAGAATGATTTTATTTGATTACAATGCAATATGGAATACACAAACAATAATTTGATATGAGATTCAAAAGATATATTAATGGAAAGATTTCAGCCTCAATTTTGCATTTGGCAATTTCTGATTCAATCCTATACCTAAAGGCATATCTCAACGGTCTAAAATTGATCTTGATGTCTTAAAAATGCAGTCAGCAACCAATTGTAATGGTGTGAAGAATCAAAATTCCTAAAACTCAATTTATACTGATTTTGGAACAGTAAGTTAACACAATGACACAAGTATGTACATCATGTCCCCACTTTGAGATTCTCATACAAAGAATCACCCCAATACAATAAATTTAGGTAACCCAGTATCATATGAAAATCACCTACAATTTGATTGATTAAAATATACAGTTATTCATCAAAATTGACAATATATTTGCACTTGATTCTGTTCATGTACACTGATAGAATGAAGAATAATTTAATATCCCGCAATTTGTTAAATTGTATTTACATTTCATTAGAATAACTGTCATTCAATGTATGCTACTTGAAAGACTTAATCCAATCAATGTTCGCCTAGTTTAACTTGTAAAATGTCAATTCTATTAAAGTTAGCATTGAAATGATATACACGACTGCCCTGAATGTCTCAACCTTGTACATAAGGCTCTGAATGGGGGGAATAAACAAGATACATTGTGATAAATATCGCAAAATGGCTGCCATGTAATTTACCCAGCATGCCCAAAACCTGATAAGATGTTGGCAGGAGTGTGCTCAATTTGCATGTAAAAATTTCAAGTTGAGCGGATAAGTGGTTTCTGGAACTTTGAATGACAAGATTTATGTGGAACTCAGCAGAACAAGACAATGACAACGTATAGCTTTTTTTCAAATTGCGATAAAAAGTGGGTCATTTTTCAAATATTTTCACATACAGACAATTAACTGTAGCACCCTTACCTGCAGTACAAATTTCTGGTCAATAAATTTCTTTGCCACGCTTGGCTGGAAGTCCGGTGATTCCAAGAACCGCAAGAAAAACTCGTAAACAATCTGAAAGAAAACAGTAAAGATGATTGTTATTCTAGATCAGCCCTAACCTTCTTCCGAAGAGTAGGAAATGATTGGGAGTTCATTTAATTTGATAAAGAAAATTAACATACATGTATTTTAAATTTGCAAAACATCTTAGCAATTCTGTAAGTGTTTTGCAGATTACGACCATATAGTTTAACACAAAGGCATGACATTCGTGTGAGACTTACTCCAATAAGGGACACTTACTCTAATATGGGACACTTACTCTAATATGGGACACTTACTCCGATATGGGACACTTACTCTAATATGGGACACTTACTTTAATAAGGGACACTTACTCTAATATGGGACACTTACTCCAATATGGGACACTTACTCCAATAAGGGAAACTTACTCTAATATGGGACACTTACTCCAATATGGGACACTTACTCTAATATGGGACACTAACTCCAATATGGGACACTTACTCCAATATGGGACACTTACTCTAATATGGGACACTTACTCCAATAAGGGACACTACTCTAATATGGGACACTTACTCCAATAAGGGACACTACTCTAATATGGGACACTTACTCCAATAAGGGACACTTACTCTAATATGGGACACTTACTCTAATATGGGACACTTACTCCAATATGGGACACTTACTCTAATATGGGACACGCATATGGGACACTTACTCCAATATGGGACACGTATATGGGACACTTACTCCAATATGGGACATGTATATGGGACACTTACTCCAATATGGGACACATATATGGGACACTTACTCCAATATGGGACACATATATGGGTGACTTACTTGTAAGTGTGGCCAGGAGGCCTCTAAAGTTGGGTCGTCTTCCTCTGGGTCAAAGTCAGGGTTGTCACTGGGGGGTAATGTCCTGAACAGGTTACACGCAATCTGAAAGATTGAAACAAAACATTAAGTTCTGATGTATCTTTTTCAATAGTATGGCCCCTATCTAGTACATCTCACTCCTGAGCCCCATCCTAGTTTATGCAATAGATTTCCTGTATTCCTCTCATATTAAAGCGATTGGAGATGTACCATATATAGTTATTTGCATTAAACAATTAATAAGAACAACAAAAATAGCTTCATCGAAAAAGAATGTGCTTCGGGTTATTTTTGCAAACTTTAAAAAAAACTGATGTCAGAATTCACAATGTGGTGTTTAGAACCCATAAGATGCAAATACAGTATCAATACAGTAATGAGGTAATGTTCTTTTCACAGAATATATTGATTGCTTGTTTGCTGAATTGTTTGTTTGGTTTGCTTAGTAGGTTGCTTTGTCATTTAGTAACACTCATGTCTCAAAGAAAACTGAATCTTGCAGATTTGTTAATTTTTTCAGAAATCATACGATCTCTCCCTTCCACACAATTTGTCTACCTTACAGGCTCGCTAATATTATACCCCATAAATTGGTAAGTTAGACCCAAATGAATAGTCTACACGTTAACAACAATCGTTCAATTGGTCATTCTGTGGAATAGCCTATATTAAGAATTTGATCGGAAGTACGGCTTACACATATCAATGAAGAATCTAGGTAAGTGAGATATATTCTCTCACACGGAGGAAATCAATAGCTAGATAATTGTACCACTTCACATCCTGCGTCTAGAATTCCTTGTGTTTCATTCCTATTCCTCGCCATTTCTCTCTAAAATTTGATTAAACTGTCTGATATTCTAACATTTCTATACAATTTAAAGTGTAAACTATATGTGTGTTAGGTTCATTCCTTGCTAATTGCACTCTTTTTTATGTTTTTTCTCATATCAAAACATGCCTGCTGTGATATGTTTCTCATAGATCTGGAAATATTTTCCTAATCTGCACCTAACATATGAGAATAGGAGACGGGGGAAGATAATCTAACCTTAGAAAACAGTTACCCTTATCAAGATGTTAGTTTCAGCTTGACTCTTATAATTTAAGATAATTTTTAACCTGTATCTCATTAGAATATATAACCAAGGAAGTAACCAACTTTCATTTCACATCATAATAACCTTGGTACCAAAAACCTTGGTAATAAACCTAAGCCAGTATCATAATATATACTATATACAAAAGTTTAAAAAGATTTGCTGTTGTTACATCACAAATGGACAGACAGAAAAACAGATGGAAGGCTTCTCTATAACCATACTTGAACTTCATTGGGTGGGGTAAATTTAATATGTACAGTGATAGAGGGGGAGGAAGATGGGGGGCATTAATTTTATAGACTAATATAACTGATAAAATATTCATTCAAGTTAAGGATATGGTTCAAAATATCACTTTATTATAACAACAGTGAGCAGTGATTTATTAGATTAAAGCAACATATGTGTGCATACATATACAGGTATGCCTAGATTACCATACACCTGTCATTAATGATAAAGACAGCTTGAATTAATAATTAGTAATTACTTAATATGTGATTTGATATACAGACTTTCTCTATTCATAACCTTTTCTACTTGTTCTCTCTAAAATTCTCTACAACCGTAACACACCTGTTTATTTTATTTCATGCTCATTTCACTCCTTTCTACTCTATTTTGTTTGTATTTTAAAATGACAACGTGATTAGGGTAAATAAATTAACAAAAATGGTTGATTTTTTACTGGAGACGTTCGAGAGAAACAAAATAAATGAGGATCCACAACTATATACAGCGTTAGAAAACCTATTTGCACCAACTTGAAAATTTAATAAAAAAATTGACCATTTTTGAGCAGAACTGAGATTCAACTAGAATGAACCAGATGTTGTATTTGCGAGGGCCTAAAGTGAACCACCTTCGAATCCAGTTCACCAGTGGTGAACGTTTGGTGTTATTTCAGAAACTAGTTTCAGGCTATCTTTATGCAATGTTTGTTATATATGAGGTCATGCACATCTCTAGCTCTTACATCAGTCGTTCAGTTTTGTGCTGTTTTATAATCTTGGAACTTTACCTTCATTCAATGTTGGTGTTTTTATCATTGTGACATAACATAGGGAAGCGTTTACATTCTGGCTTGTTTTACTGTAACCTTTGACCAAATCCCCCACATTTACAGTAAAACCTGTATATTGACCCAATCCCCCACATTTACAGTAAAACCTGTATATATGAACACTTCTCTATTTGAACATCACTCTATATGAACACTATTTCTTGGTCTCAATTTGTTATCTCCCATTGACAAACTTTGAAATGTGATCAACTGCAAATCAATACACTTTTGGAGTGTTTCTATTAAAAAGGTTTGACTGTACATGTTAAACCTGTGTTAAGAGAAAGACAAGAGCCTGATGTAAGACTAACAAAATAAAACCCTTTAAAACTGATATAAATTATACATTTTTCCTTTGGACTATAGTAAAACCTGTCTAACCTGAATGCCACTAGGACAGGACAAGTGTTCAGACTGAAAGGTGTTCACTTTTGATTTTCTTAAGATGACAACCTATGGCAGATTACAGAAGGTGCTCAAAAGGTGTTAACATTGAGATGTGATTAAATAAGAGAGGTATTCAGATACACAAATTTTACTACATATACAGGGTGTCAAATAAGTCCCGTCCCCCCCTCTACAGCCAAAACCAAGATATATGGTACCAAGTGTGATATATCATTGGAAAGGTCTCCCAAAGTTACGTTGATTAGCATATATCTGACACATGTCAATCAATCTCACAAAGTTTTACAGTGTATCAATTGAGGTGACCATAGGCCTAGAAACATGGCAATTTGGCGTATTTGGCAGGAATTTCAGAATCGGGTATAAGAAAAGTCAAAGGATCTAAAGATGACTACATATTTATATGGCAATGAATTTAACCAATTTCTGGATAGGGGAAGATGTGTAGAAAATAGAGGAGCAAGGTAAGTGGTGAAAACATTATTTTAACAAGTGGAATGCGAAAAAGATTAACTTTTTTGACGTATTTCTGAGGTCAAATCCTTCTCATTTTGAAGCAAAAAAGCTGCTTAAAGGAGGGTATGCTAACTAGAGGTGTCACGGTCCAAAATAATTTCGGTACGGTACGGAACGGTACAAATGGTCTCGGGACACGGTACTTTCGGGACGGGACAGGACAGAACATTAAAAATGATGCAATGTCTGATGATGAGTTTCACTTTCAGTTTCACTTTTCAAAATCACATTCAGAAATAAAAAACGTCAATTAAAATCGAATATAAAGCATCTGCCGCGAATGTGATCGGCATTTCACATAGTCTGCACGGTGAACTATGACCAATTGGTATACCTTGTGATATCGGAGTCCCAAAATACTTCCAAACTGCCGACTTTTTCGACTTAGTAGATGCAGGCTCGATTTATCAATTTCTTTCCTTCATCCGGCATACTGATAATGCACTCGATTTGTGAACGACGGTGAAGAAATTTACGAACAAGCATTACCATCTACCTGAAATCGCGGGTCCGTTAATTACACTTTTCTATGCAAAGAAGTGTAATCTAGGTACGAGGTAAGTGAAAATATTTAATTTTTCAGAACGAAATCGGAGGTGTTCCTCGCTGTTTATACACGTTTTTATGCATTTTAGGGAAGGAATTTATGTACCGATACCGAACCGATATTAACCCTTTCTGTCCCGTGTCCCGAACCGAAGCATCTGGACCGAAATTCGGTCCAATATCGGGAAACCGTGACACCTCTAATGCTAACTATAAAAGACATCATGAAAATATAGGTGAAGTTCATCCAAAATACTTGTGAGTTGGTGAGTTAACATAACTTTGTATGATCTTTCCAATGGTATATCACACTAGGCACCATCTATTAAGGTTTTAGCTGTGGCAGGGGGGACGGGACTTATTTGACACCCTGTATATTTTCTTAAACATAGTTATTCACCTCAATCAAATATAAAATACAGGTTTTACTGTATATATATTTACTTAAACAAACAGTTATTCACCTCAATCAATTATGTAATACAGGTTTTACAAACATACAGTTATTCACCTCAATCAATTATGTAATATGTATACACAGCCTTCTAAATTATGCAGATCCTCAGTCTAAAATCAGGTTTGACCTTTTCTATCATCTACCCTGTCATCCTAATATTATATGCCATGGTGTTCAAGTTTTAAAATGCAAAACAGAGTGAAAAAGAAAGGACTCTGCTGTAAAAAAATATTCAGCCATGTTACCAATACTCAAAATTATATAGAAATTCAAGAAAATCTGACACTTCATTCAAATTCTATAGAGAAATTGTAAGAAATAGGCAAGGAAAAATATAGTTAGAAGCAGACGGACATTTTGTTGAATGGAATGTCATCATAATATAACAAGTGAGATATTGCTGACTGACGTGCAACAAGTAATTCAACAATGATACCTGATGTAAACCTTGACTTATGACATTTAGGTTATGATAAACACACAAACCCTTTGTAAAATCGATTTCTGATAAAAGAATTTACACAAACGTTTGACTTCTCAACATAGAACCAACACATATCTAGCTTTTGTCTGTATGTATTTTACTGTTTATATTATGAAAACCTCTTTTATGTCAGTGGTACTTACATACAAAGGAGACTATGTGAATCATTTTTTACTAATACATAAAAATTAAGCTCTAAAGCTGGCACTTAATGCAAAGCAGGATCCAAAAATCGTTATGGTTACTAAATAAGAAATCAAGCATAATTCTATCCCAGACATAAACCATGAAGAAAATATGCTCAATTCAAAATCAATTCTATTCCAAATGATATCAATGACGAGAATGTGCTCAATTTTGAAATCAATCACATCGGATGTAACAAATATCATGACATGAATCTTCTGACATTACCCGAAAAGAGGATGAATTTAATTGCAGACAAATCAGGAGCTTCGGTTTATTGGGTTTTAAGTTTTCCTTTTAAGTCTTCATAATGACTGGATTACTTAATTGCAAGGCTATTTTCTATAAGGCCAATGCCTTCCTTTCCTTCAAAAAATAAACCTTTTATCTGGACAAATAGGTAAGAAATTCTTTGATATATGGGAAAGAATTATTTCTTGTTAATACAAGGTATACAGCCGGTTAAGACTTATTTTTCAGGTTTGGTTCAGCCATAGGGCAGTGAACCATGACAAGGTTTTACTTTGGTTATAAATCAAAATCTAAATCTTCTGACCTGAAACTACTGTACTCTAGCCATCTTATTTGATATCAATCATCCCCCATATGAAATGTCCAATGAGTGTCTTGTTTTAAAATGCAAAATAGAATGGAAAAGAGTGAAATCAGCAAGAAATAAAATAAACAGGCATTTAGTACACATTCTAAATTGTATAGAAATGCAAGAAAATCAGGCAGTTCATTCAAATTTTAGAGAGAAATAGCATGAAAAAGAAATGGTCAGGGAGTAATCTCCTGCCCAGTTCCTATAAAATCATCAATCATTCAGCCTTTTTCACATATCTGCTTTATTGATTTCTAGTTTTTGCATATCACCTCATTAGGTTCACTGTTTTCTCCTAGGCCAAATTTCAATGTCAACTTCACGCCATTTCTTTCTAAAAATTTCAATGAACTATCTCATTTTCTGCAATTTCTATAGAATTGGGAGTCTTACTATATGGCAATTTATTTTATTCCTTGCTGATTCCATTCTCTCCATTGCAATCATGCATTTCAAAACATGACCGTCATGACAGGACTGACTGACTGACTTTAGATGCATAAACAGTGAAACCTGCATATTGTAACACCTCTCAATATGAGCACCTTTTCAGGATCTCCAATTGACTCAAATATAAAACAAGCAAAATGTCACCACCTGCCATTTGTTAAAGATGCCAAACATCAACCACTGAATGCTATCACAATTAAGTTGGAGACCATAACAGTATGCCTATGCCAAGTAATGACATTATCACAAAGTGTTCCAATTATGTTTTCAACCTCAGTCAATACTGTTCTTGTATCCCTTTGAAGACATCAGCTCCATTTTGAGGTCACATTTTGGTTCTGACCCTGGACATCTTTTGTTGTTTTAAATTTGACCAAGCAAACAAACGATCACCTCAACTTATCTTTCAATCTACCATTCATTACCTATAGTAGATTAACTTAAAAAATTGCACCTACCATTCGTGTGACCTCTGGGTATATGGGTTCCGTTAAGACCCCTCGGGTAGCAGTGATATAATCCACTAATTCATTTAAACATGCCCTTTTTACTTCTTTACTCTTGAGGTCTGAAACGGGGTCCATGAAGTCAAAGACAGAACAGCATTGTTGAAGTTTCTTCTGGAACAGTTCACATTGTTCTGAGGCCTGGGTATCTGAAATCAAAGACAAAAAAAGTAAGAAATTAACACAAAATTGACATAGGGGTCCTGTTTTGAGACTGAAAATACAGTAGAAAGGAATGAAAGAAGCAATGAATTGAGTAATTTTAAGGCATAGTTAACAGTCAGAATAATTGTATAAAATGTAATACATGTAATATTAAGTTCTTCATTCAAGGTCTCTAACAGAAAGAGTGTGAAATAGGCATGACTTCTTAAGGAACAGCAAATACAGTTTAGGGGCCAAATGAAGGATTTTGTGTATGTGCAACAACTCAAAAAAACTTTGCTAATAGCGTAAATCAATGAAAATGGTTTGTAATGAAGATATTAAACCTGCTATAACTCTTTGGGTTCTGAAATACAAAGTTGTGCAAGGAGATTTAAAAGTACATTTCCCTAAAATCTTCACAGAAATCCTGAGGGGGAGTTTAAGAGAGGATGTACCCCCTCACACTCTACATCTAGATGTAACCTATTTGATATAAGCTAATGTGAAACAATCCACTACAAAGCCCCCAAAAATTGCCAAACTAGACTCAAATCCTGAATAAATAAATGAGCCAAATATATTGCAGTAGTGAAGCTGTGTACATGGGAAAATACTGACAAATCTGTTAAGCTAAACATAGAAAACTTGATATAGACAGACAGACTGACTAACTGAACTAATCCTGGAAATTACAACAAGGGTTCTAAATACATGTCATACTAAACGTAAAATTTGTATGAATATATTATACAGAGGTTAGGAGGGATATTATTTTTATCCAGTGGATATTGACCATTAGATATAGTATGAGAAATAGAAAAGGTAGTTTTATAATGTGTATAAAGGACATCCATCCTATGAATTTGAGGGATAATATTTTCTGACCCCTACCCCCCTCCCCCATCCCACCTGTGTCATAGAGAACTAAGAGATACAACATGTCTTCAACTAATTATAAACAATTGTCTATGTCTATATTCTATATTCTATAACCAACTGTCTGTCTCAATGCTTTCACAACAGTGTGTAGTAAATAAATATACATAACTCAAAAATATTACAACCAGGAAAATATACAAGTATTGATGTAATGTTGATAGAATGACCTCTCTTCTCAGTAAACTAAATTTACAACCAAATTAATATAATGTAACAGTTTTTCACATAGAACCCAATGGGGCAATAACAAATTTCTGGAACGATTCATGCACAGCTACACCGTGACATAATTCATCTTTCATCATGCTCATTCCACTATATTTCTCCCTAAATCTTGAATGAAATTTTTGATTTTTGGGCATTCCCGTGTTATCTTTATGATTGTTTCCTGCAATCATTTGAGTGTCCACTCTTTTTATTCTAATATACATTTTAAGACATGGTCACTCAGCCATACTTGAAAACATGCCACAGCGGTCATGTATCAAAATAAAAAATAGAGTGACAAAGAGTGAATTAGCAAGGAATAAAGTGAACAGGCATGTAGTCAACACTCTAAATTGTCCAAAAATCCCGAAAAATCCGAGAGTTCATTCAAATTTTAAACAGAAAAGGTATGAAATAGGCATGAGCAGACAGACATTTTTTATAAATCATGAACTATGCAAGACAAGAGAATATATAGGCATGAGGCTTGTACTAACCCAGGGGAAATCTTGGTTGATATGGAGGTAGAGCTGATAGATAATATATACCACTTACTTTATCATATTTCATTCAATCTGTATTACTAAACTATTTTAGAAACAGTGGTATTCTATTCTAGAAACTGTTCCATTTTAGAAACTGCCACTACTACATCTATTTCTTTCTCTCTGTTTTTATGTTTTCTATTTAGAGACTTAAACATAGAATTTTTCACATCATTATCAATTACTTTCATATTTTTATTTTTTCTCTCTATTTTTAAAGTGTATAGTACGAATTACCCAGATTCTATCAGTGCATATCATTTGCTCATTTGGGGGCTTGCCACATGTAAAGCCCCTCCCATAACGATACAAACCATGAGCATTGTACATAGCATAATGGGGTCTGAATAACCCAAATAATACCAGTGTTACTAACAGAACAGTAGTTGCAAAGATTTTTATTAAACAATGTTTTAAAAATGAACAATTTTTGCAATACTCTGAGTCATATACAGCTCCAGAAAATGACAATTGAAGTGTGCTACATATATGAGCTTATATATTTTATGTAATTGTGCACTTGACTGTACTGTACAGGATAAACTATGTTCAATTTTTATTTAAAAGGGATCTCATGAATAAGAAATCCTGCTTGAAATATTATACTGCTTATTTATCTTCTTAGGCTTCTTGAGTTCTTCATAAAAATGGTTAATATTTCATATGTAATTATACAATGAGTAATAAGTTGTATTCATTAATGCCATGGCAATTAGTAAATCTATGTCTGTTACAAAATGGTAGGTTTATAGTACATTGAAACCTGTATATGTGAACACCTCGCTAATTTGAACACCTCTCAATATGGAAACTTTTTTTTATCTCCCTAAGAAACCTTGGAATGTGAACACCTGGTTTGCTTGTTTTTAAATGTTTTATTTGTATTAAGGATATAGAGAATACTTTAAATGAGTAGGTGACAATCTGAACACTTTTGGCTGGTCCAATTAGTGTTCTTATTGCGCAGGTTTCACTGTACATGCAATATTTTCATGTCTATTACATTAATATTTCTTGATAATTTCACTCGTTTCTGTAACCCCACGATGCCATTTCTCATAGATTAACCTCAACATAGCATATATCCATGAGTTGAAGCAACTAATTAATTGTCTAATCAATCACATACGGGCGTATTGCTTTTATTGATCAAGAGACAAGCAAATCTTTATTTCAGTAGTCTTCTTTCATAATCAAGAAGACATTTAAAAAGCATTTAACAATATAAATTAGCTGCTAATTAGGATGTTGTTTAAAGTACTTAATGCTGGACCATACTGGTCTATGCCTGGATGTCCAGGTGAGGTATGTCCAGGTATACTGTATTATATCTATTAAACGCACACTCTCTAATAAACGCACACCCGACTTTTTGTCCCAGGTTAGAAAGTCCTGTCCAGATAATATTGAGATCTGACGAAGCTCTAATAAAAAAAACATTGTGGGCGATAATAGAGTATTTTCACCATTTGTTAAAATAATGCATCATGACATCACGATTTCCCATCATGCAACGTAAGAAATTTCTTCAGGTGTTCGTGTAAATAACACACAATAGTGTATTTATATACTAAATTTGTCATCGAGGAGCTCACAATTCAAGGTAAAAACATAACATATAGCATATTCTCTCTAATAAACGCATATATCTACTATATTTGATCGATTTAAGGTATTTTCACCCATTACCGCCCACCATAATTTTTTTAGAATTCCCGGGGATTTAGCTGCTTGAAACCTCTCCCCCACGGTAATTTGCTAAGCGCACTGTGCGTTTAATAGAGATAATACGGTATATGATGTTAGTCCATACAATATTAGACATGCTGTGATGAGCCGTATAATGTTGGTCCATACATGTATGAACCATACTAGTCTGTTATTTGATGCTATTATATGATCATTTTTTTTATTTTTTTTTTTTTTTTTTTTTTTTATTTCCATTTTTAACATTTTACAGCATATGTCATACATTTATATTACATTAATACATAGTATATAAAATGAATCTTTTCAAGCGATAGAGAGAGAGAGAGGTTTTGAATCTTTGTGATTTGAACATGAGAGGGATGTTACATTACATGAAGCTTATTATCTCATTCATCATTTGAAATACATGATAGCACTAATTTCCATAAATTTTCAAACTCTACCTCTTTGTGTTTCTTTATTGAAATATATTTATTGTAGTCATATTGTTTTTTTAAATACCTTTCAAACCCTAGTTTGCTTGGGGCCATTTCTTCTAGTTTATTTACATAAATATAGTGTTTCATGTAGATGAGAAGCAAGTAATCACTTTGTGTGACTTTCTCACCTAGCCAGTATTGTTATTCTGTAAATCTTTTTCCAATTTTGGCATAGGCCATATTGATAAATTGTTGTACCTTTACACAGTCTAGTAGTCCATGGGTTATTGAATCAACAGCATTGTCATTGCATATTTTACAGTATTGTGAATCTTTGATTTTCATTATATATAACATTCTATTGAAATAAATTGCTCTTTGAAGCAACCTATATTGAAAATATTGTAGTTTTGTGTCTTTTATTATATCCTTAAGTGATGTGTATATACGTTGCCAGTTGAAATCATTTTCATTTATGTGTAATTGTTTTGCCCACTTCCCTTGTGATTTTATTGCCTTTTGTTTAACTGTATTTTTTAGCAATGTGTATGTACTGGTATTGTTCATGAATTGTAGCCTTTCTACGAGATAACTCGGTTCAGTACTTTGGTCGTTCTGTCTCATAGCCCTTTTCCAAATGTCTGGAATGCACGCTAATATTTTGCGGTGTTCCAAGAACGTTACTCCATTTAGACCATAGCTTGTTCTTAGTGTATCGAATGGTATGATGGTTTTGTTATTATATAGTTGATCTATTTTCCAAATTCCCTTTCTTTTCCATTCCTCATTGTTTAAGAGTTTGCCCCTGTTGGTAATGTTAGAATTATTCCAGATAAGTTCATGTCCTATTTCATTATGTTTGACGTCCTTTCCCTCAATGAAGTTTATGGACGTCCATATTTTTAACGCCTCTTGTATAGATTTAATCTTCAGGTTGTTCAGTTGTGCCTTTTCTATTTCTCTGCAGTTCCATTTCCAAATGTTTTGCCCGTTTTGTTTTCTGAGGTGGTGTCTCCATAGCTTTGCCCATTTAGAATTCATTTCCTCATTATTAATGCTTTTTATCCACTTTAATTTCAAGTTTCTAGCAAATGCTCTTACGTCAATCATATTTAATCCTCCTTCTTTAACCTCTCTCATTAATGTTTTTCTTGCTATCTTCTCTGACTTGTTGTTCCAGAT